TTCCTTTTTCCATTGGTTCACCGCCTCCCCCCCCCAAGTGGCCGCTACGGCTGGCGCATTGCGGCCAGCGTACTGAGCTGATCTGAAGCCAGGAGTTAGGTGCTTCCTCCTGGTCTCTCATGCAGGTGCAGAGCTCAAGCACTTGGGCCATCCTCCACTGCCTTCCTGGACCACAGCAGAGAGCTGGACTGAAAGAAGAGCAACCGGGACAGAATCCGGTGCCCCGATCAGGACTAGAACCCAGGGTGCCAGCGCCCACAGGCAGAGGATTAGCCTATTGAGCCATGGTGCCGATGACCACTCATTATTAAAAACATATGTGCTTCTCTGGCCTCAGAATCAGCCCTTAAGGCATTCAGATATGGCTGGAGAGCCCATGAGAGTATTTTAGGCATGGAAAGCCAAGACACCCTGGGAAAAAAAAAAAAAAAAAGGAAGACCTAAATGGAAGATCTCTGCAAGTGAGATCCCAGTGGAAAGAACAGGGCCATCAAAGAAGGAGGTACCTTTCTCTGAAGGGAGCAGATAACTTCCACTTTGACTATGACCCTATTGGAATAAGATCGAAGTCGGCGAACTCAAAAGGCTTCCATAGCCTTGGCAACTCATGACTAGAGCCTAGGGAGATTACTGACGCCATAACCAAGAGTGTCAAGAGTGTCAAATTGTTAAGTCAACAACAGGAGTCACTGTGTACTTACTTCTCATGTGGGATCTGTCCTTAATGTGTTGTCCAATGTGAAGTAATGCTATAACTAGTACTGAAACAGTATTTTTCACTTTGTGTTTCTGTGTGGGTGCAAACTGATGAAATCTTTACTTAATATATACTGAATTGATCTTCTGTATATAAAGATAATTGAAAATGAATCTTGATGTGAATGGAATGGGAGAGGGAGCGGGAGATGGGAGGGGTGTGAGTGGGAGGGAAATTATGGGGGGGGGAGCCATTGTAATTCCTTAACTGTACCTTGAAAATTTATACTTACTAAATAAAAAATTAAAAAAAAAACATATGTGCTTTCGGCAGGCCTACCTCATTTGGTTTAGTTACTTACCAGGTCCCTACTGACACACATAGTTTACCTCAGTTAGCTCAAATATGTGGTTTCCTTACATGAAGACAGGCATCAGCAGAAGTGACCTGGAATCTTTCAAGAAAGGCTGGGAGTTTCTGACTCCATGAAAAGCAGGGGAAAATCTTTCCCATTTAACAAAAACACTAACACTTCCTCAGGGTAGCCCCTTTCAGCATCAACAGCAATTACAATGAGACTGCACACTCATTAACCTTTCAATATAAGGCTGGGGGGCTCAGACAGCAAAATGCAAGAGAAAGAGTAAAATTCTCAATTAAACGCTAAGACAAGTAATTTCTCTTGAGAATTTCTGAACTTTTGGATTTCTAACATGGCCAATTAAGAGTTCTTTTTACCCAACAGGAAAATAACAAAGATAAAATCTCTCATCAGACAGGTTTGCCTCCGTGAACATGACAGACTGTGGGCTTCCAAAAGACATTCTTTAATTTTCTGTATTCTGAATCTTTAGAAGCATGTTAGAATGTCCTCAACACGTGGTTTCACATTGCTTTTCCTCATTGGCTGGCTGACTGTGTATCTATCTACCTATCTGTCTGCCTCTACACACATTAATAAATGCATTTCTTCCTCTGAGTTCACATAAAATATCATTTATTTATTTGAGAGTTAGAGAGAGGGATCGAATCTGCTGGCTCACGGCCCAAATGCCCACAAAGGCCAGGCTGAGGGCAGGAGGTAGAAACTCAATCCTGGTCTCCAGGATGGCAGGAACCCATCACTTGAGCTACTGCCACAGCCCGCCAGCATCTGCATTACCAAAGAGTTGGACAGAGGAGCCAGAGCTGGGTATTGAATCCAGCTACTCATGCAATGCAGGTATTTTTTTTTAATTTTATTTGACAGATAGAGTTAGACAGTGAGAGAGAGAGAGACAGAGAGAAAGGTCTTCCTTCCATTGCTTCACCCCACAAATGGCCAGAGCTACGCCGATCTGAAGCCAGGAGCCAGGTGCTTCTTCCTGGTCTCCCATGCGGGTGCAGAGCCCAAGCTCTTGGGCCATCCTCCACTGCCTTCCCGGGCCATAGCAGAGAGCTGGACTGGAAGAGGAGCAACTGGGACTAGAACCAGCACACAAATGGGATGCCAGCACTGCAGGCTGAGGATTAACCAAGTATCTTAACCATTAGGCCAAACACTGCCCCTGCCATGTCCTCATTGTTAGTACATCCCTATGCTATTTACCTGTAATTTCTGAAGGATAGTTAAAAAAAAAAAGCAGCAGCAAGTTTATATTCTTCTGGGTTACTTAAAAGATAATGTGCAATATTACCTAGTTGACTAATAAAGTTAAAAGCTAGGGGGAACAAATCAGGCCAGGCCAAAATAGAGGAGCCATCTAAAAAGATGCAGTAGCAATGACAACACCATTACTCTAAACTCCATTTACTCCATTGGAACAATCTAGTTATCATACAGATAACCTGGGTAACAAGGAGATGTTTCATTTTCCAGGAAAGTCTAATATTTCTTAGAATGCAAAGAAGGTTCCTGTACTTCTCAGGGTGTCAATTTCTACTGATTATAAACCTTTGGTTTGACTTTTTATATTTGTTAGAAACCTTAACCAGAAAATCTCTAAAGCTATATTGAAAGTGTCTGCTGTGTTTGCCTACAAGTCAAAGATTTTAAAACAATACCTAGCATGTTAAATGTCTTCACTTATCTGACTTAAGACTAATAAATCAAGTAAGTCACACAGATCTGTTACAGATTTAGTTTCAACTGCAACATTTCAATGCCAGGTTGATACCCCCAGGATACAAGACATAAGAATCACAATGCCAGTGGCAAAACTTCTGCATCAACATTTTATATATGCTATCATGACATTGAAATATACCCTGTGTCATTATAACAATTACGTCATACACAGCTATAATCACCAAAAAACAAAACCAAACCAAAAGGCTATTTCTGGACTTCTGAGCTCAAGACATCTGGCTATTTGATAAAACTATATCAACATAATAAATCTACTCATTTAGAAATACATTCCTATATGACTAAATCTTGTATGTACCCTGACAATATTTCAGCTGAACCCATTTATCACCAAATTATTCATAAGATAAATGCCAGGAAATACAACTTTACTGACAACATAAAAACAGCCCACACACGAGCCATTCACTTGCTTCTTTATCATATTTACAGCCATGTCTATGAGAAAAATCTTCCATTTCAGAAAGAAACAAATAGATGCATTCAGAAGGTGTCAGAATGCTTTAAAAATGCTGGAAACAATATTTCTGGGATAACGTCTTATTCAGTTGACCTGTTCATCTTTTCCCAAAAGAAGAAATATTGCCAGACGTGTAACATGCTTGTGTCTGACTGAGCTAGCTCATACATTGGTTTCTAATTTTTTAACTGTCTATTATATTTTACTTATTTATACAAGAAGAAGTAGAGGCAAAGGAAAATCTTTTTCTCACTCTGCCACTTCTTTTTATTTTATTTTATTCTTTATTTTTACTTATTTGAAAAGCTAATAGAGAGAGAACAAAAGAGAGAGAAAGAGAGAGAGAATTCTCCCATCTGCTGCTTCCTTTTCCCAGATGCCCATAATAGCCAGGGTTGGGCTACACTGAAGCCAAGAGCCAGGAATTCAATCCAAACCTCCCACCTGGACATAACTATTTGAGTCATCACTGGTTACCTCCCAGGGTAGACACAAACCAGAGATGCTATGGGAAGCACAACCAGGACTCTGAACCTAGGCACTCCAATAAGGGAAGCAGGCATCCCAAAAGATGGCTCAACTGCCTGTCCCTCAGACACCTGTCCCTCTGCCCATTCTAACCGGTAACCTGGAACCACGATGTTTATCCTGCTGCAAGTACACAGCACATAGTCAATAAACATTTTGTTGAAAATAGTTAAAAGAAAATGACCTTGGTTACTCCTTCTGGGAGTAAAAACACAAAGATCTACCTTCCAATCAAATCCTGACCCCATTTAATAGTGACACCGGGCTTCTGTTGTTTATCAGGTTTAAGAGAACAATAGCAGTTCAATAAGATCTAAATCACTAGCATTTCCTTAACATAGGACAAGTTTGCTTGTCCTGCAAGTTCTAGAAAAGGTTTTGCCAGGCAAACACAGAGCATAAACAGTCCTTGAAGTGGACGCCCCCAGCACTTGGAAGAGTACACTGTTCTGACAGTGCCTCGAGCACCTCCTTCCAGCCACTTGAATGAAAGCAGCATATGCTATTTATAAATATTTCATCTCTTCATTAAAGTGCATTCCCTGAGCACCCCTCAGTAAAAACCGCTAATCTTGTGTTATTGAACCAAGTAAATACCCATCCCATCCAAATAATCCACCACGATCTCCAAAATGATATTTTTATCTTGAGAGGATAGGAATTGAGATCTGTTTTCCTTTTTCCTTATACCCTTTGGCATTCCTGGATATTTTCAGTGAAAAAGTATCCTTTCATAATATCAAAATATAGGCTTTAACATGATAGAAACCTAATAAATGAAACAGGTTCTCTTCAGGAATAATTAAAAGTGACTTTAGTAAGAATCTATTTTATTCCCCCTTGCTTAATGGCCCTCCAAACATGACACCAGGGAAATGGGAGCGAGAGGCAGAGAGACATGCAAGTGTATCCTTTAACCTATGATTTCAAATCAGCTTTAAGACGCACTTAATTTCCTTCCCACAATGGATGTGTTCTGGATGACTACATGTTAAACCTACGTTTACAAATCAGGCTGCATTATAAATCAGTGTAAAGACATTGCTTATTCAGGGAATTTTAGAGTCAAGAAATCTTACTCTAAAGTGAATCGATCAACATATGCTGTACGGATTCAAATGACCATAGATCAGTTGAAGATACCATCCATTACTTTTTAATTTGAATTTGCAAAATTTCCACTGTACCTGTAATGAGGTGAAGGGTTGCCTCTGGCTTCGCAAGTCAAGGTGATTTTTTTATCTTCTGAATCAACAGGGAAGATGCTATTGCTGGGCTCTTTGATAAACACAGGGCCTTGTAAGAGTGGCTCGCCTGCATGGGTGGGAGACACGCAGAAAAATAATGAGCACACAGATTGTAAAAGCTGCATTCTAGAACTGAAGAAGAAAACAAGCAACTAAGGTTTCCACTTTCCAAAAAATCACTTATTGTCCCATTCATCCACAAGGCAAGGCCCTCTGCAGGTGCTGCTCTATTTCAGCCCATCCCTGGTTAATGCCAACAGCTTAGGAAGGCAGGTTGGTTCAGAAAAACTGCCATATTAGTACAGCCAACTATAAATAAAGTTACAGGAATTACTTGTATAACAATAAAAATAGGTTAGTATTCACTGATGAATAAAATATTACAAGGAGCCCTCCTAGCACATGCCTCAGAATTCAAACCAGCTGAACACTTGAGTGTTACTTCTCTCATAAAGTCTGCTGGGCATTTAAATCTGATAATTGGCAAAGTTATTCTGCCCTTTTGAACTAAAATTACTCAATATTTGGTGGGATTTCCATCTTATTACTAGCAAGTTGAAGGATATAGCACCAAACAAGTGTCTTTTTTTTTAAAGATTTATTTTATTTGAAAGTCAGAGTTACAGAGAGAGAGAAGGAGAGGCAGAGAGAGAGAGACGTCCTCCATCAGCTGGTTCACTCCCCAGTTGGCCACAATGGCCAGAGCTGAGCTGATCCGAAGCCAGGAGCCTGGAGCTCCTTCCAAGTCTCCCACACGGGTGTAGAGGCCCAAGGACTTGGGCCATCTTCCACTGCTTTCCCGGGACATAGCAGGGAGCTGGATCGGAAGTGGAGCAGCCGGGACACGAATCATAGCAGGGAGCTGGATTGGAAGTGGAGCAGCCGGGACACAAATCAGCATCCATATGGGATGCCAGCACTGCAGGTAGTGGCTTTACCCACTATGCCACAGTGCTGGCCCTGAACAAGTGTCTTTTTAAACATTGTTTCTACTTTGGTTCAGAGAACTTGAACATCGGCTGAAGAAAATTTTCAGATGTACCCAAAAACCCTCTTTCTGTATTATGAGGTTGGAAAAGGAGATAAAGCCATCACCAATGCTTAGGCATGTGCAGCTGTATAATCATTGCCTCAGTGTTTCCAAAAACAAATTTATAGCAAAAGGGGCGGAGAGCTCTTCCCTATCTTGATCATGGAATGCACCCCAAAATTGTGCAGGACCTTCCAGTCACACAAAGGATGAACAGACAACCTGAGACACAAAGACAGCCCATGAGTAGTTAGACAAAGAAAACAAGACCACTGAAAAGCAGCCAAAAGGACTTGGATCTACAAACTTAAATTTTGGAGACTTCAACTAGCAATAATATTAATATTTATCATCTCAAAACAATCATAAAATGATAGTATGATAATTAATCGCTGAAAATAGCTATAGCAGAGCTACCCAGCGAACTCATGCAGCTACATGTGCTCATGAATCCTCCCAGGGCTCTGGGCGGCAATAACTATAATTATCCCTAGCACACAGAGGAACTAGGCTGAGCCCAGGATGACTGATTCTTCAGTCCCGGCAGAGACACCACCCTCTTTGCCTCTTGCATAAAGTATTAGGCCTTGTCCTAGGTCTGGCCTTTGCCCTGGGAAACTGGGAAGTAATCTCTCTCACTGCAAACAGGACTGTCTATATTTAGGGTGGGGATCGAGCACACCGGAAAAATCAACCATGAAATTACAAGTGATGGGTTGGGCCAACCTACCATCTGACCTGAAGACAGAACTCAGCTACTAGTGCCTCCACAGGCACACCTCCACCACAAAGCCCCAGTGGGAACTCTGAGGCTGGCAAGCCTTGCTGCTTGGAGACACTCCTTGTGAACTGTTCCACGTCAGTGTTGGGGGCTACACATCCTAAGGCAACAGCAGCTGAGCCCTGGGACCCTTTCAGGCTCTGCCTTAGGTGTCACTTCCTTTGGCAAAGGTTAGAGTGGATACTTTCCAAGTAATAAGCCATCGTTGTGACTATAATAGCTTTCAGTGTCTTTTTTCAGTCCCTCTAGGAAATTAATAAAATGGAGGCTGGTTTGGGAACCTCTCTAAACTTGCAGAAATGAGGGTGACCTTGGGGACTGTGTCCTCAGAGCTCACATTTGGGCACGACTCCACTGGGACATCACGGCGTGGCTAACACGTCCTGTTCCAGGGTCCTGAGAAAGCACCTTGCCATCCTTAGCTTCTGATCTTCACTGATCACTGCTTTCACCAACAAGGTGGGGCGGCAGGGCGGGGGTTGGGGGTTGATGCAAGGGCATCAGAGTTCCCTTACGGAAAACAACCTCCACCAGAAATGGATTTTAACTGCAAAGAACTAGTGCTGTCATTTTCCCAGTCTGCCTCCTCTATCAGTTACAGAACAGCAATAAACAGCCCGTTCCATTTATTGTCCTAGAAAATGGAAAACATTTCTAATATTTATTTGTAAATGGGGTGGATTTTTCACAACATTTTTCTAGCTAGTTTCTGATTTACTGCTGGATGACTTTTATTCATTCATGGGATGGCACAGCATCATCTTTCTGACAAACTCTGATGTATCTAGGGCTTGAAAGCAATAACATATTAACATAATGGCATAAATTAGGAAATAACCAATAAACTGGGGACAGAAACCAAAAGAAAAAAAATGAGAAGATTTAAGTGACAAAGACAAAAAAGATGGTTAAAAAGTTTTCCTGGGCCTGACGCTGTGGCACAGTGGGTTAAAGGACAGGCCTGCAGTGCCGGTATCCCATAGGGGTGCCAGTTCAAGTCCCAGCTGCTCCACTTCCAAGCCAGCTCCCTGCTAATGCACCTGGGAAAGCGGCAGGAGATGGCCCAAGTCCTTGGGCCCCTACACCCATGTAGAAGACCTGAAAGAAGCTCCTGGCTTCTGATCGGCTCAGCTCTGGCCTTTGTGGCCATTTGGGGAGTGGACCAGCGAATTGAAGATCTTTCTCCCTCTCTCTCTCTCTCTCTCTCTCTGCCTCCCCCCGCCCCAGCCTCCCCCTCTCTGTCTATAGCTATGCTTCTCAAATAAGTAAATAAAACCTTAAAAAAAAGTTTTCCTAGGCATGACCACAAAAAAAAAAAAATTAAAACGTCTATGCCATCATCACCAAGTGCAATCTCAGTTGATGTTATATTTCTTCTTCAGAGACCACTACTCATTTTAAGTACAAGTGCTGCATGACAAAAAGCATTTCACTTTGGGAGACCCTTCTGAAAGCATGATGGTGACAGTTCATTTGCTAACACTGACTGAGCCCTCAGCAGGTACCAAGCTTCCTACTGACTCATCTCCTCCGATGCCTCCCATCTCCATATCCCCACCTATGTCTAACCCATATCCCACAACTAGACAGTGTCCCTGCTTCCGCTTTTCAGAGGTAGTGCTGAGTCTGTTGTCACCTTTGGGATCACAGGCTGCTCTGCACTCTTGTTTCTTCTTGTCATCAGGTTAGCATGCCATCTTCTCAGCTTCAAAGTGGTGACCCTCCCCCGTTCACAGTCATCTACATCTGCCACTCACAGAGACATAAAACACATGACGTTCTCACTGAACTTCCCATAAAAATGTCATACAGGGGTGGGTTTTTTTTTTTTTTTTTTCAGGCAGAGTGGACAGTGATAGAGAGACAGAGAGAAAGGTCTTCCTTTGCCGTTGGTTCACCCTCCAATAGCCGCCGTGGCCGGCGTGCTGCGGCCGGCGCACCGCGCTGATCCGATGGCAGGAGCCAGGTGCTTCTCCTGGTCTCCCATGGGGTGCAGGGCCCAAGTACTTGGGCCATCCTCCACTGCACTCCTGGGCCACAGCAGAGAGCTGGCCTGGAAGAGGGGCAACCGGGACAGAACCCGGCGCCCCGACCGGGACTAGAACCCGGTGTGCCAGTACCGCAAGGCGGAGGATTAGCCCAGTGAGCCGTGGCTACGGCCTGGGTGTTTGTTTTAACAGTCAAGTCACCACTCGGGATGTGCCCGTGTTCCAGTCTCAGCTCCACTCCCAATTCTAGCTTCCTGCTAATGTGCATCTTGGGAGGCAGCAGGTGAGGGCTCAAGTAGTTGGGTCCCTGCCACGATGTGACAGACCTGGGCTGAATTCCCAGGTCTTTGGCTTAGGCCTGGCCTAGACCTGGGTGCTATGGACTTCTGGTGAGTGAACCAGTGGATAGATAATCTCTCTATTTCTGTCTTTCCCTCTCTCCGTGTTTGTCTCTTTCTCTCTGCCTTTCAAAAAAATAAATTTTAAAAGTCAAAAGGAAAACAAAACACTCTACAAAACCTCTCAACCAAACTTCTTGGGACGTGAAGTGTTTTGGACTTCATATTTTTTTCTGATTTTGGAATATGTGGATAGAAAACATAATGAACTATCTTGGAGATGGAACCCTGGTCTAAACACAGAACTCGCTTATGTTTCACATTTACCTTTGCACACAGCCTGAGGTAGTTCTGCACAATATTTAATGTGCCTGCATTATGACTGTGAATGTGGCGCATGAGGTCAGGTAGAGAATTTCCCATCTGTAGCACCACAAGTTCTGAATTTTGAAACATTTCAGATTTTGGGTTAGGGATGCTCTGTACATGCTTGTATACGTACTAGCTTTTTTTTTTTTTTTTTTTTTCAATTCATTGCAGTATAACCAGCTCCTAAAAAACTGGTAGCTATTCAACAGGAGAATTTGTTGAGTAAATGATTCAGAGGAATGAAACAGGGGGTGCCACCAAACAGTCACTTGTCCACTCCTTCATGGATCTCCCAGTAATGGGTCTTGCAGGGGAGAAGTGAGGCAGGTGGCCCCCAGTGAGCTCCAGGCAGGTGGCACTGTCAGATGTGGGGAGGGCACCTGGCCAGAGCACAGCAGCGAGGGACACATGCAGTGCTGACGGTGAGGCTGCGCATTCTCACAATGACTGTACGGAAGGCAGATACTACTGGACAGCTGGCGATTGTTAAAGCCATTTTGTCCTTCCGGAGCTCGTCTTCTCATCTTGTTCACTGCTGTACTACACCAGGAGAAGGGAAGC